CCCCGTTGATCGCTATTCAAACAATGACCTCCCGTCCAAAGTGAACGGACGGAGCTTATTGAGAACTACAATTATATGTGAAGAACTGTACAAAGTAACGTGGGACCGGTGAACACTGTCAGAAAGTGGTGTCGATGTTAATTACTAATGGTGTGATATCAGTAATTGGAAAAAAAACGGGCAGCAACAGCCAATCACAAAATGACAAGACCATGGTCATTTGCATACCGTACATATTTTTATCAGCTAGGCTTGATTAGAATGGTCATATTCCAGACGGATCTGGCCTGCCATGGAGTGTTGTATTTGTTCTGGGATTTTCTTTCATATTTCTGTCAGACAACTTAAATGTCCCAGAGTCTACAAACAAGAAATTGACTTGATGTTTGGGCTTCCTTCCAAAACCAGGTCAACCTAAGCATCTCAAAGACAACTACCATGGCTCACGAAAGGAAAATGATGACCCTAGTGTCACTGAAAATCAACCGACTAAATCCAGCAAAGGCCCTTCTTTAATGTTTTCATAAGTTTACTATATCGCCTGAATCCCGCCCCCATCCCCCCCTGCACCCCCACACCCCCGTCAAACTCCTCTTCATCATCAGCATTCACCTTCACCCGGACTTCTTGGCTCCAACCAGTGTCATAAGTCCATCCGTGCTCATGGATTTGGGCCTCTCCAGAGGGAAGCCCAGGGCTCGGCTCCAGATGAGCTGGGCCAGAACCCCCAGGGCTCGCGACACACCGAACAACACTGTGTAGTAGTTCATCTCAGTCATGCCGTAATACTGTTGGGACAGGAGAGGCAAAAGAACGGCTTTATTTCAGATCACGGGTAGAAGGTCTTCTACAACTATTGGTATTAGAGTCCTATGTAACAGTGCTTTACGGGAGAAAGTAAAGCACAAGTTTACAAAGCTGGTATAAAGCTACCCAACAGAGCAACCACTGCTGAGGTTGCCCCCCACCTCCAGTACCCTCACCCCAGCACCTACCTGCAGCAGCACCCCACTGTGGGCATCCACATTGGGCCAGGGGTTCTTGGCCTTGCCCTGCTCCAGTAGCACATTTGGCACAATCTTGTAGAGTTGGTGGACCAGCTTGAACATGGGGTCATTAGGCAGGTGCTTAAAGGCAAACTCCTGCTGGCAGGTGTACCTGGGGTCGGTCTTCCTCAGGACGGCGTGGCCGTAGCCTGGGACCACCTGGGAGAACACACGGCTACATTACATCCTTCGTTCTGTGCACATTTATTAAAGCCAGCGTGGCCTGCTGTCCTCTCACCCTTCCAGACTTGAGAGTGTTCCAGATGTAGTCTCTCATGGCTTCATCTGACACCTCTCCTCCCATTTCTTTCTGCAGGGCCGTCAGCCACACCAGCACTTCCTACAAAAGGCAGAGGTCAGGGGTCAAAGGTAAGGCAGGGGATCACTCCAATCTACACCGGTTACTGCTCTCATTCTCCTTGATTACTACTGATGTAACTACACCCCCATAGTGCTCCTGGATTGTTGCTATAGCGGTAACTAATCAAAACATTTAAATAATATTGTAGAAATATGACTGTGACAATCGTAAGACTGAGGGATAGGCCCGGGGACACCATATGAGAAACTAATGTAGAATACACATTTGTGATTGGATGATGTACAGACTGTAGGGGTTTTGAGGACCACTGCTAAATGGCCGTTGTCCCGACTGCCTGCTATGTATTCTGGCATTGGAGATGGAGAACACTGTAACATCGAAAGAAGGTCTCATCTGAATGTGTGCATGCTAATGAAGACTCCTACCCTAACTTTCCGGATTCATGATTCTGTTTATGGATCAAAAGTAGGACATTTCTAACAGTACGTAACCACACCAGCCAGGAGTAATTGGCCAAATGTTAACTCAAAACACAAGCAAGTGTACACACCTGATTAGCCAGTCCGTGAAGCGGCCCAGCCAATCCGTTCATAGCCGCGCTGAAGGACAGGTAGGGGTCGGACAGGGCACTGCCAACCAGGTGGCTTGTGTGGGCGCTCACGTTACCACCCTCATGATCACTATGGCAACACGGGAGAACGGAAACACAACCCCGTTAGGCACGTCCACAAGTCATAAAGGTGCAGGCGGGTGAATAATTGCTGACGGTCTCACGCCGCCTCAGACCGACCTATGAATGGTGAGATAGAGACGCATGAGCTCAGTGAACGTGGCGTCGCCGTAGCCCAGCATGTTGGTGAAGTTGTGCGACCAGTCCAGGTTCGAGTCGATGGCGCCAATGCCGCTGCCCTCACGGTAAAGGTTGCGGTAGATCTTGGCAGCCACACATGGCAGCTTGGCGATGAGATCCATGGAGTCTTCGTAGACATACTGCAAGAGAATCATTTCCGTGTCAACAGTCGAAATCAGATCCATTACTTTTTTTACTATTACTGCTTTTGAGGCACTTTAATACTGCAGCATTATTCTTATATTAAAAACAGAAGTGGGAAAGAGGTGGACCACCCTGGCCAGGGCCCTAACCTCTCATCGGGTTTGGCAGTTTTCTGTTAACACTGAAATGGCACAGCTGATTAAATTAATCAGATGCCTAATGATTAAGTTCAATCAGGTGTTTCAGGTTTAAACAAACATGTGGAGCATCTAGACAGTCCGTGATGGGGTTTTGTATAATGCCACTCTCAGCATTTACATTTCAGTCTCTTATGCGGGGACAGTACATTCTCAAAGTTTTTGGTTCACCCCTCTGTAAGAACAAAACCCACAACAACCATTGCATTGTAAGTGCCGTTCCCCAACATCTGAGCTCAACCGGGCGCATTGTAGAACCCAAAAGACCAGTTAACATGTTCAGATTGCACTGCATCAACCTCATAAACCAAATCGGTTAAACATTCGGCTGCACGTCGTCCGCCATAACAACGCGTTCTCTCGGCACACAGCATTTTCTTCACGAATGTGCGTTCCCTGAGCTCACCTCCCAGTACTTGGCCTTGTTCACTCCCTCAGAGTAAGCCCGGGCAAAGCTGCTCTCGCTGTTCAGAGCGGTGATGGCGGCGCTGAACTGGGACATGGGGTGGAGGTTGGTGGGGAAGTTATCCAGCATAGTGACCACGTGGGAGGGAAGCGCTGCACGCTTGGCCCACTCCTTGGACAGCCAGGTTGCCTAGGCACAGACACGGATACAACTCAGAATCAGTGACAGGAAAGAACTAGACTCAACAAAGCCAATAGTTTTAGTCACCGAGGTTCTCAGACTGTTTCCATGGAGGGACGAGTGTCTGCAGGTTTTTGCACTCACCCTGTACTTGATTGATTAAATAGGTCACTAATTGGTTATGTTCTACCCTCACCTGGTTGTTTGGGTCTGAACTCCGAGACAATGTAGAGGAAAAAACTAAAACCTGCATGCACTAGGCCCTTCGTGAAATCAGTTTGACACCTCTGGTTTAAGTCTTTAAAATCACAGAAGCAAAAATAGGCTATAGATAACCTGCCATACCACTCACCTGCTCCTGGGAGGGCACCTGGCCTGTTACCAGCAACCAGAACAGACCTTCAGGTAAGGGTTCCTCACCACCTGGGGCCTTGGGCAACAGTCGCTGGCACTCCGGGATGCTGTAGCCACGAAAACGGATTCCCTAAAAAAAGATTAAGAAACTACTAGGTAGGGCTGCTCGATTATGTCAGAAATCATAATCACGATTATTATGGTCGTAAGTGAGATCACAATTATTAAACACGATTACTAATTGACTTGGGAACTCCATGTGTTTATTTACTTCCAAAAAAAACTTTTCCTTAATATAATTTAACTACAAAAAAAAAAGTTTGTAAATAAGCAAAAAAAAATGTATATCAAGTATTCAACATATTCCAGTGAGTAACACAACAGATGGACAAATTGTTAATTTGGTTTAATTGTGGTTGTTCATTTCCAACTTTGTTGTATTTTAGCCTACAGACAAAGTATATACACAATTAAAACTCCAGTTATGAACGACGGGGATAAAAGACATGTAACTTTATAATATATACTAATATTATTATATACCATACTAGTAAACAGGTTATAAATCCTAATTGTGTGCAAGATACCAATTATTATTTTTTTTTTTTATAAATAGTCAAGCCTTCCTCCTCCCCGACACTGAATGTTCGCATTTCATTGTCGGACGCAGTGCCGCCTCACAGACCGGACTCACCTCATCTGCATCCAGCACGGACGTTTCATACACCAGACCCTTCATCCCTCTCATCCCACCATAGATCTGCGAAAACACAGGCACGCATAACAACGTTGTGTTCAGGAACACTGCAACCAGCTGCCGTTTCTTTTAACAGAACCAGCACGGCCTACCAGACGGGCTACAGAAGTGAGAGCTGAGCTATACGTACCATATCGACGGTGATTGAGCCGATGTTAGTCTTGCCATGCTGCGCTTTGAAGTTCTTAATCCGACTTTGTTCTTTAGGGACGAGATCGGTGAGCACATCTTTCAGGTTCTGGGAAAACAAAGAAAAACATCGTTAAAATAAAGACCCAAGAGGCATGGTTTCGTAATTACTGATGTTTGTCCCCTTACACCCACAGAACCAGAAACATGTCAAAATGAGGAGTAGATTTTAGCATCGTAATTTTACACTGTAGCCAGTTTTGATAAACTTGCGCCAGAACAGCTTGAATGTTTTAGAGCATATAGAGTCAACCAGGTGTAGGGAATGTTTTACATGGTGTCCGGATTACATGTTAAAGTTGCAACGGATTGGACAGTTGTAAATAAATTCCATGACTAGAACGTTACATTTTCTGCCACCAATGATAATTTTGAAAACCGGAGACTGACTGGGCCACGCAAGTAAACTGACCTCCTTGATATGGCTTACCATCTAAAGACTTGGACCCATCTACAAATCACTTATCCGGTTTTGGCAACAACATTATTTTACCGGAATAATACCGAAGTGCCATTTGTTTCGTTTTCAAAGAAAGAGTGCTTGGTGGCCTGTGGTGTATTGTAATTTAGTTGGTGGAACTTGATGCTTGTAACGTCAGGGTTGTGGGTTTGATTCCCACGGGGGGAGTTGTAGAGCTTCTAGACCCCAAAAGGGCCTTGGATTGTATGGCTTCGGCTCATATCCAACACCAAGGGTAGAAATTGTATTTTGGAGTATAGGTTAGTCAACGTCCCATCTGAACTGCGGAATATAATCGTTCTGGGGTTTCGGGATTTGATACTAAATCCAGATGTCCCTAATAGACTTACAAAAACCGAGCAGGAAATACTTTATACAGACATTACAAAATACATGCTCATTAATAAGGGTCACACAGTTTGAAATTCCAAACATACTGCTGAGTAAAAATAACAATAAATACCTGCCTAGTCAAAGTACTTACCGATGAGGTAGTGGCATTTCTGGAAGCCACACAGAGACATGCTGCATTCTAAAAGACAAGGACCACATCAGTAAAGACACTCAATGTTCATTCTAACATGTACAGGCATTTAGCAAGGAAAGGCTACATGTTTTAACACTATTCAGAATTGCTCTAGTCTTTAAGCAACCACAATGCACTGCAAAGTATCCTTACTAGCGATCTAGGTCCTCAATTCTCGAAAATGTCTCACACCCTCCATAACAAAATGCAAACATTAGCACAAGTGTTGTTGGAAATGGTGTGAAAGTACTATAACAAAGGACTCCCGACAGGTGCATAGCGGCCCGTTTTAATCAGGAGGACCTACATCTTTAAATAAGATATGACCAGCCAGCGGCTTTGCTGTTCTTACACACTAGTCACACTAGTTCCCTGTTGGAAGTCTGAGCTCGGCCCATTGGTTACATACGGCTAGGAGATGCGGGTCTCCAAAAATATATATTCTCTGTAGCGTTCTGATTGGCTAACCAACGCTATGGTTCCGTGATGTCACTGTACCGTATGTAGATAGCGAGACAAAAAATATGGTTTAGCCGGCAGCATAGGGCGTTAAGTACATACTTAATTAGTTCAAATACGCTATCTTGGTAGGATAAACGAAGGACTTGTCGTTACTAGACTTGACCCTGTTAAAAACTATTAGATGTGTTAGCGAAACTAACCAGTAACTACCGGTCATGAATCTAACTAGCAGTCCCTAGCCTGCTCAAGCAGAGACTACGTGTTGTTAGCAAGCATGTCAACGTTGGCTACATTGGTCATGCATAAGTCATATTGTACAGCCAACTGCATTGTTTTTGGTTTCTCCCTCCGGACATATTTTCCACAAACTATAGGTTATTAGTGAGCCAATAACCCCCAATATAGCTGCCTTACATCACTGGGACAGTTAAGGCCTTACGTATAGCATACTAGCTATGATAGGGGTAGCTAAATGCTAGGTTCACATTGGTTCTGGCTGGTGCTACAACCTGGGTTAGCAGCTAGCCAAAGTTTCAGCCTACTACCAACTTCGGCACCGCATTAAGAACAATGCAGCGGCGAGCTAATGTGTTACCGTCTCCTTTCTTGGTCTTCTTACCTTGGTTGGGTTCAAGAGTTTCGTGGCAAACTTGCAGGCAGACAGCAGGGACATGGTGGATGTACGGTATTGATCTTGATGGCTTAATAATAAACTGTACTGGTTAAAAGAAATCCCCAGTACCTCGTTGAAGGTGCCCCTTCCGAGTTTGACGGTAGGTGAAGGTTGAGAGCGATGAATAGGCCTGCAAAGGGATTGGCTGGGACACGCGTGGAGTGACGTCGTGAATGATAATCTCACTGTGTGGGTGGGTTTTATGAAATAAAGATGCCTTAGTTTTAATAAAGTAAACGCACCCATAAAGCCATAGCTAACCTGAGTTATATATATCTAGTTAAAATAAAAATTTCATTAATATAGTTGTGCATTCCCTGATGTTTTGTTCGTCTTAATTTTGTCAAGATTTGACTTTATAATTATGTAAAAATAAAAAATGCAAATTTTCTTCACAAGCGCCCGAAAATGAGTGCACTGTACTAATGCTATTTCAAATATTAAAACAATGGCTTAAAAAGTACCTGAGAGCCAGCCGCAGTATTCTTTTAATACATATTGGATGTATTCATAGTTGTTCGGTTTATGCAACAAAACGACCGTGTACGACAAGTGAAGATTGTAGAAATATATATTTCCATTATTGTATGACAAAGACACATTTTAATGCGCAAAATAGAAGAGCAATGGGAAGAGCTTTAGAATGTTATCAAATCTTACCATCATTTACAGGGACTACAAGGACTTGTATTAACGAAACTATTGCACGCATATTTTTCAATCAATATCTAACCTTTTACATTTGTCAGCCGTGTGTAGGTGGTCATATCAATTAAATCCATATATAGTGATTTTTAGACACACTTGCAATCATTATTTTGTACGGTGTAATTGCCCGTCTCAAATACATTTTAATTTAGCAAAACATATACTCACTTAACCTTGTTAATACGTTTTAACATTGCAGATACATTTTTGATTGACATATACATATGACGTATATATTTTTTATATTATTACTGTAGCCACTTTTTCTCCTGCTAATTTCATGATATTGAATTCACTACAAAGGCCTCGACTAATAACAGCAACTCCTTAGCAGGTGTGGAATGAACAAAAAGACATGTCCTCTGTGCCCATTTTGTTGCTGAAGACAAGGAAGTATTCACAAGTGCATAACTGCTTGGAGATGAGCACATTTTCTGGCAAACAAACACGATTGAACTTAGGGGTGATTCCATAATGTTTTTTTGGTTGCCTCTGGTATAAGTAACCTTCAACGTGTGCAATGATAGTGAAATCAGCAGATTATCAAGTCGTTTTGTAGTGCTGTTCAATCCAGTTCTCCCAACACAATGTTTTTTTTATCAAGAATATGAAGCCAAAACACACCAAAGGTGACCCTGCTGCAGAAAAACAGGACTGTTCTGAAGATACCACAAAATGAATTCTGACCTGAATCATATGTAACGACAAAATGTCATCAGTTTGCAAATTGACTAATGCATGACCACATTAAATAATCACAGTAATCTTGGCCATAAAATATGCAACCAAGTCCTTGGGTGTCTTTCATTTGTTAATGTAATTTATCTCCATTTGTTAAGTAAAATGCAAACTTAAAAAAATAGTCTGTTCTGCTTTGTGGAAAGTTAATAACACGTTCCGAAGACCAACAGAAAAGTTAAAGGCCTTTTCTGTATGTCTACATGTCTCTATATTTAAGCAAAAAATAAACACATCAAAAGATTATTCGGAAACGCACTTGTGTGACCAATTGAAAATAGTTACAGAATTTATTGGCGTCAATAAAAAAAATGTCCAACATCATACACATCTGTGAAATAACAATTAATTGAGGCGCACACACGCGTGATAGAATAACGGATTGCATGATTCATGAGTGTTCTTAACAGCGGTTGCCCAATAACTTATGCCTCGCATCCTCGACTTGTGATCGATAAGAGCAAATCTAGCTATTGTTTGTAGATCTCCATTCCTCCCCGATCCCCGTACAGTAACAGACAATAAGCTCCTGGAGCTGGAGGTACTTCGGATGGTCTCCAGCTCACTAAAATAGCAGGATGGAATCAGAGCTCATCATGGGGGATTTCAAGGGCGTGGTCACAAAGATCTGCAAGGAGAAACAACTAGGAGTTACATTGGTTCTCACGGTTCACATATTGAATTACAGATGCAAACAGCAGACAACTGTAAAAGTTCTATTACAATAGTCGTGCATATACACTGATGAGCCAAAATATTATGACCTAATATGCTGTTGGTCCTCCGCATGCCTATAAAACAGCACCGACCCACCAACGCTTGGACTCCACATGACCCCTGAAGGTGTCCTGTGTTATCTGGCACATTACCAGTTGCAGCAGACATTAGCAAGGCATTAGCAGCAGATCCTTTAAGTCCTGTAAATTGTGAGGTGACGCCACCGTTAATTGGACTCGTCGGCCCAGCGCAACCCACAGACGCTCAATTGGATCGAGATCTGGGGAAATTGGAGGCATGTCTCTCAGACCATTGTCGGAAAATGCGTCTAGTGTGGATGGGCTCATTATCCTGCTGAAAAAAGCCACTGCCATCTGGGAAAACCATTGCCATGAACAGGCGTACCTTGTATGCAACAACGTTTAGGTAGGTGGCACGTGTCAAATTGACAACCACCTAAATGCCATTACCCAAGATTTCCCAGCCGAACATTGCTTAGCGCATCGCGCTCCCTCCACCGGCTTGCAACTAGCTTCTATGCCCTATTCTCAGGTGCCATTGTAGGCAAGGGTCAACATGGGCTCTCTGCACAGTTTGTGACTATGAGCCTCGGGCCGTTAACACTCAGTGGTCCCTAACCGGGAGCACCCTACAAGCCTGGCTGTTTCAGGGACGCCCTGACCCAGTCGCCTTGCTATAACAATTCGGCCTGTGTCGAAGTTCTGCCCATTTTTCCTGCAATCTTATCTACTCAGACATTGACAGGTGCCCTTGTTAGGAGTGGACCGACGCTATTCTTTACACCACTGTGATTGGTCATAAGGTTTCGACTCAGTGTGGTCTGCACATGCAAGTCCAAGTAATGTATTGGATCAAGTCGGGCGGTTGCCTACCGGTTCTCTTGCTGCACAGTTTGTCTTTAACGTTGCCCGTTTCGTGGGCAAAGAATTCGATGACCTCGTCTTCGTGTTGTTCAATGATAGTCTCACACTGACGGGTAAAACGGGAAGGTAATGGATCAATAAGACGAAGTGTGGGACACATTTCAGAGTGTTGCAGGATTACCTACTGGTACAAACATTTGGATTTGTAACGCTTCCTCTTACTCACAAGCAGAGGTGCCATGAGAGCTGAGGCCCACACACTTGCAAAAGTAGCATATTTCATACCACACAGGAATCTAAATGTAGCATCACATAAAACAATAGACCTGCCTATCTTATCTTATCAATGATCAGATCTGTCTGTTCATTGTATATTGCTTCATTGAAATGCAACCAAATCACTATCAACCGTGAACATGGTAGCAAATGTCATTGGCCACATTATTCTACCTTTCTAACG